ATAAATAGATTAACAAGTGTTTTAGGCATTATTTGTAAATAATTACTTTGTTATTTATAAGTTATTATTCATGAAAATGTTTAGGTGGATCATAGTACCATCTTTAAATTAGCATATGTTTGACATTTAATAATTATATTCATTTTGTGAATAAATAAATATAGATGGAAAGTGTATTGATCATCTAATCCCTTTTCCCCTTCTGATCCTCCCCTCTCCCTTTTTTCCTAGTTCTCCTTTTCCATTTTCAAAACTTAGATTTTCCGAGCAACAGTTTGCTTGTCAGCTATTCCCTGTAAGTCCTTAACAGAGCTGAGCAGAACTTGTAGGGGTGATGGAAATGTTCTTTATCTGACCTGTCCAGATGGTAGCTGTTAGCCAAATGTGACTGCTGGGTACTTGACCTATAGTTAATACAATGGAGGAACTAAAATTTTTATTTTAGGTTCTGCTAACTTCAGTTTACATTTAAGTAGCCACATGTAGCTCTAATGGCTACCATATTGGGTAGTGCAAGTCTATAATGACGGTGACTAATACCTTTCATAGCCCTAAGCTTTTCTTAATCACTCTTCTGAGTGGTTTACATATTAATATATTTAATCCTTCCAGTGACTTGATGAAGTAGACTGTGGTTACTATTACTCATTAACACATTTTTCAGAAGCTTCGTGGTGTCAGACACCAACAATGATTGGTTTGGCTTAAGGATTAACAATTTGGGTTGAGTTCATCAGAGATATCTCATCTTTGCTCCTTGAAGATGGGCAGTAGATCTGTTTTTAAGCCGGCTTAGTTACTGTTTGGCAAGTTAGTGCCCACTGCTGGTCTCTGTCCAGGGGGCAGGCAAGATGTCCTCAGCACAGTTGCTGGGTTCCACTAGCAAGTGCCACAAAATAGAGGAAGAGGAAACTGTCAGTTTCTTCAGACCTGAGATCAGGAAATTGACAAAGCATCAACTCTGACAAATTCTGGGCCAGCAGAACAGCGTGTGTGTTGGTGGAAGAGATAGAGACTTTACTCTTCAGGGTCGGAAGTATCAAAATATTGGGAGCCATGTCATAAAGTTATTGGAGATGGGGATGGTCATTTGATTTCATCTTACAGATGAGGAAACTGAAGAAAATGAAATTACTTGCCCAAGCTGAGTCTACTAAGTGGCCAAGCTATCATTTCTGTAAGGTAGTCTGCGTTTTTAACCATGGTGCTATATTTTCCTCTCTACATAATGTATATATTTTAAGAATTTAGATTCAAGAAAAGCATGCATGGCGGCACACACCTATAATCCCAGTGTTCAGGAGGCTAAGGCAGGAAGATCACAAGTTCAACTCTAGCCCTGACGACTTACTGACTTGGCACTTAGTGCACAGGCCCTGCATTCAGTCTCCTGTACCACATACCTTAACAGAGATTCATAGCTCATTTTTTTTTCATGGTGCAATAATTATGAAATGAAGTGAATTATACATGCTTGTGAATCACAAAGCCTTGTAAATATGTAGTAAGTGTAAGTAAAGGTTTACTCGATGTCAAATTCATAATGAAGAAACATCCTCAGCTGTCTGATCCAAGGGATGGTGCTTGGTTCTCATCCCTTCTGCTTTCATTCCATTTTCCCCACTGCCACTTAAAGAATTTAACAGTGACCCAGACCAGATTGAAATGGACCGTGATTCTGAGGAAAATTCAAGTCTTCACTTATTCCCATTGTATGGAAAATTCATTGGTAAAATCAGTCAGTCATTCAATCAATCAAACATTTAGAACTGTAAATGAGGCTCAGTAAATGTTCCTGGTTGTTACTGATAGTAAGGCTTAAAGTTAAACCCTAATTTAGACAGTAAATTTATTTTGTAGTTTAGGGATGGATATATATATATACACATGCACGTGCGCACACACACACACACACACGTGTCACTGGTTAGCATGGATTCTTAGCCACATATAAGATGGCAATTATATATGGGCCAGTGTATAGATAAAATAAAATAAAATGAGCTTATTACAGGAAAGCAACATAGACATACCTGAGATGGCTATTCCACAGTCGGAGCTGCACTGGACCAAATTCGTGTCTCACATTTATAGGGTCTCACCCTAGTTTCCCACACATTCTGCTTGTTTTTTATCGGGCAGCACCTTCTGAGTCCTGTTAGCTGCCTGCCTCAGTTATATATTTACACCATGGAGTCAGCCTGTGGGTTGAAATCTGTCTCTGTAAGTTGTTCCCTCTTTGGCCTTGAGCAAGTGATTTGGCCTGCTTTAAAGTCCTGTTAGCTCCCCACCTCACATGCACACAGTCATGTGTTGCTTAATGATGGGAATATATTATGAGAACTGTTTTGTTAGGTGATAGTGTATTTACACACTTCAGTGGTATAGCCTGTTGCACACTTGGGCTGTAAGGAGCAGCTAGTTTCTCCTAGGTGCCAAACCTGTGCAGCGTGTGACTTGTATTAGGTTTCATGATGTTGGTGTAAAATACGTGATACCTACCACTTAAAGGAGAAGGGATTTACAGTACTGAGGCTCAAGGTTTCAGTCCATAGTAGTCCAGGTGCCAAGCAGAAACATGGTGGAGGAGTGTGGTGGGGCAAATCTACTTAGTTCATGGGAAGCATAACAGGTGAACAGCACCAGTGAGAGAGATGTCCTCCAGAGACCACCTCCAGTGACCCATCTCCTAACAGACTATCAGTGGTTATAATATCCTGTAATCCACCCACCTTTCCATAATTCAATCAGATTGATAGTTAAGCTTAACTGTCACATTACTATACTGAATACTATTGGCAGTTATCACACAGTTGGTAAGTATTTGTGTACTAAAATGTAGAAAAGGCACAGTGAAAATACTAAGTGATAGAAATTCTTAAGCTTCATTATAATCTTGGAATCCACCCTAATATATGTGGTTCCTTGTCGATCAAACTGTCATTATGCAGTGTGTGTTGTATATATACTTTCTTGGGAGAGAAATGAGAAAAATGTAAAGATTATCTCAAATATTAGAAGTTGCCTGATAAAATAATGAATGCAGCTTTCACAAACTGAAGGAAACAGTTTGCTTCCCAGTTCAAAGCCAGTGGATTTGTCCCTGTGAGAGAGAGGTGGTCCTTTGTTCCATGGCTTCTGATTTGTGCATTAAGCTTTTGTTTGATACTGTTTGTGGCCATGATGCGCTCTGCTCAGTTCACACTACTTTTTGGTTCAGTGCAGTTATTCTTTTCTTACCAAATATTGTTGAGAAACATTATAGTTCAGTGTCTCTAGCTTTCTAGTTTCTGCATTTCTTAAGTGGTATCTATGAATCTTCTTGATATGGAAAGCCCCATGTTGTTTCACAATAATGTTGCAGATGCTGAGAGTTCTTCAGCCAAATTCCACATTTTCCTTGAGTCTTTATTCTCTGAGCCCTCCCTTCCTTGCTGTCTTTCTCTCTTTATTTGTCCATATTGTGATACTTTCAGGGTTTTCTGTGCTGTTTGATCTTTCTCTTAATCAGCCGTACCTTACGATTGGCTGCTCTGGGTTTTTTCCATCTTATTCCAGTGGCCATGTGGCATTCCCACAGGCCACTGTGTCACTTTCTTCTGGTTGATGTGGCTGATCTTCCCTCTTTTCTAAACCAAGCTGCCTCACAGAACAGCTTCTCTCCTCTTCATGTCATTAGATAGATCCCCAGTGTGATTTTTCCCCCAGTGACTGAATGTTCTTTCTGCGTCATTTCTTGCCATCTGTCATGAGCTGTCCATGTGCTAACTTGCTCAGAGCCTGTTTTTGATGCTACCTACAAGCTCTGAGGTGGCAGAGCCTGTGCTTTATGTTGCTTATTGTTCTTCCCAGCTTCCAACAGGGGGCTTGTCACATAGTAGGTGCAATAAATGATTGATGCATGGTTAAACAAAAGCACAGGCTTCCTTTTTTATATTGCTATTCTGCCTCATTATTCCATGTTCTTTACATTCTATGTATGTTACTTTACTAAATTCTGTAAAAAATAAGCTCCATGAGGGCAAGACCTTTGTCTATTTTGCTTAGTGTGATACACTTGTTCCCAGGTACCTAGCATGGTGCTTGGCAAGAAGGTCATGTTTTCATATTTCTGTGACATAGTCATGTTCAGTAAATATTGCTATGTTTCAGAAATGGTTCTAAGTGTTTTGCATGCAGTCATTTGTTTCATTTTCACGTTGACCTTGCGAGAGTGGGTAGATACTGTGTAAGAAATGAAGGTATTGAGATGTTAAATCATTGTTCATTATCACACAGCTGCTGAATGCTGGTGCTGGGTGTCCAATCCAGGGACCCTGCATGTATGCTTTTAACCACTGAGTACTATGCTATAAGGCCTCTTAATACTTATGTGCATATTCTATCCTGAATACATCACTAAAACCCTGTATCTTCATTGCATACTCTCTAGGGATTCTCAGTAGATGAAGACGTAATAGTTGACCTCAAGAGGTTTAAAAAGCCAAAAGTGATTCAGAGTGGGACCGAGTGTGTGAATGGCAAAGGCAGGAACTTGGGCAGTTGCAGTCCCATCCTGGGTTCTTGTCTTTTGTGCTAGGCTGAGGGACCCTCACCCGCACATTCTTGGCAGGCCTGAGGTTTGGGGAGCACACAGACACTGATTGCATATTTATGTTTTATTTATTTATTTTTATTAGTACATGCTTATGGTACATAATTCCTTGTGTGAAGTTGGTACCTGTACATAACAAATTTTAATGGCTTTTTAACTATGCCCCCTCTTTTCTGCTCTCCCTGCATTGTTTGGTCCCATTCTCACTTGAGAAAAATCTGTCTTTCTACTTCTTACTGTCTATTATTTTGCTCTTTATTTGTAGTTTGGGTTTCTCGTGTAAGAAAAACCACACGGTATTTTCCACTTGTGTGGGCACTAATTTAATATGAACATTTCCTGAGGGTCATCAGGGATTTTGCCCCTCGCAGATATCTAACACGGCTGTGCCTGTTCCTTCCTGTAGACAATGGTGGCAGCCACATGTTGCACTCGAGGACAGAGACGACCCCGTCACCTGCTAACAGTACTGGGAATGGACACCCAGAGTACATTGCATATGCGCTTGTCCCTGTGTTCTTCATCATGGGTCTTTTTGGCGTCCTCATCTGTCACCTGCTTAAGAAGAAAGGCTATCGTTGTACCACAGAGGCTGAGCAAGATATCGAACAGGAAAAGGCTGAAAAGATAGGTAAATAACCTGAATTGGTTCTGTTGGTGGGATAGGAATAGTGAGACGGTTTTTACCTAAGAAGCCATGCATATATACTTCCTATCTCTGCAAGGCACAGCTCGGTTTAGAAGTGTACCTTTTCCAGGAATCACAACTAGAGTTGAAACCTTGCTTTCCTGGCTATGTGGTATTTACCTACACTGGTCCTGTGACCTGAGGCAAGGTACCTGTGCTTGGAATCTCTGCTGTATATAATTAAGCTGAAATTTATTTCTAATTCATGTAATTGACATATTAATTTTATTTAAATGAGAATAATTTCCACTTTGTAGGATGGTTGTGCAATTTAGAGAGAAGTTTCATTAGTGATTGGCACATACGGTTTCTCAGTAAACATTAATCCTTACAATTATGACTGAATCTGACTCTAATAAGAATAGTGGGAAAGTTAAATAAGTCTCATCATTTTTGTAGTATTACTTTTGCATTCTGTAGTGTTGCATTGTTGTTTTGTCTTAAGTCTGCATGATTGACATGTATGTTTATAAAGTAAATGACTGTGGGAACAGAACAGTAAAGTATGGTAGGAACTAGTGCCTTAGCATGGATAGCAATGTTCCTTCCTTTCTTTCACCTGGAGTCTTAGGGAGTGTTTGGATAAATCTGAGACATGAATCCTGTTTTCCTGTCATTTCTCTCCAGTCATATTTTCAGGAGGTTTTCTAACTTGGGCTTTGAGTATTAGTAGGTAACTCTCCACATCCTGTTGAGCCCCATATGGGCAATCTTTGCAGAGAGATGACATTTGGAGTAGGTCACAGAGCAAAGCCATAGGATGACAGAGGGGAGATTCCTCACTCCTTGCCAGCTTGCTGGACTGTTTATCTTTTCCGCCCCCACTGACCTTTAAGGCTGAGGCAGAACATGGGCAGGATGAGTCATGTGTAAGCTTATGACCAAACCAAAGCTGAATGTTTGTCAACAGAAAGTGGGGCCTGCCCCCTGCTCGTTCACTGCTGTGTGTAGGTTGGCTTGGCCATCCACTTCCAGGCTGTGCCTCTGCACATGCATGTTCATGTTTAGACAGTAGCCAACCCAGGGTGGCCCCTGAACACCTTGGTTGTTCTTGGTGAGCTAGAATAGAGGTTTTCACCCTCTCTCTTCGTTCTTGGTATAGTGAAACACATTATACAAATTATACAGTCTGATTGGAGCCTTGATACTTTTTCAATGACTATCACATTTTATCACAGAGACCCCAAAGTGTACTTTGTGGGCAGATAACCAGGGTCAAAATTTAGATAATGGAGCTGGAGATTTAGCTTAGTAGCTCAAGTGCTTGGCTGGTAAGTGCAAGGTCATGAGTTTGATTCCCAGTTTTAGAAAAAAAATTAGATAATCAGGAAATATTTTCAAAAGCATAAGAGAGTTTTATAAATAAGAATGACTAACTCACTTAAATAAATCAGTACTCTTAAATTTGTATAGTAGCTGAAATGAAAAGCTAAGGGAGTTTGTTTCTTTTATTAGCTTTCTTCTTTGCATTTCCTCTAAGGGCATAAGGAAATGATGAGAAAAACAGTGGCAGTCAAGAGTCCGTGAGTGCATTTCTATACTGTTGTGCAAAATGAGTTGATATTTGATCCGGAGAAGAGATTGGTAAATAAGTCCGGTACTTTCTTTTTATGTTTGTTATGCCAATAAGCGCAACAATACGTGACACTAGAAAGTTTGGGTCTGAAGGCAGGAAGTTAGAATCTCTGTAGCCCGCATGACCTGCTGAGTTTTCTGGAAGCTGTTTAGTGCTATCTTGGGCTCTGAGACTGAATGTCTAAGTGACTTCCTGTGAGTGGCCAGGTGTGACATGCTCTCCCCTCTTCTCTTTCAGAACTGAATGACAGCATTAATGAAAATAGTGACACTGTTGGGCAGATTGTCCACTACATCATGAAAAATGAAGGTATGGATATTTTAGGGGTGTAGAGCAATTGAGAATTCTTGTTTTATCACAAATCTGCTCTGAAGAGTCAGGATTAGTATAGGCTTTCATTGATTTTACCTAAACTCACTAATTCCTAGGCTTTCCACTTTATCCAGCCTTAGGGAATTCACGTTAGTGTTTTTGTGAGTGCCAGTTGATCTTAGTGTTGTGGGAGCCAGCCTTGGGGCAGATCGTTTCTCTTCAAATCCTGGTCTCCCAGCTTACAAATTGTGTGCCATTGGGAAAGTCACATTACTCATGAACCCTCAGTTTCCGCTTATGAGACGAGGTCATAATAATATTTACCTTGTAGCGCTGTTGCAGACCAGCACATGAAATGCTCAATATAAAAGTAAGCACTCAAATATTATCTATTTATGGTACTTGAAATTTTGTTTAAAACATATATAAAATTTGCTGTTGTAACTGTTCTAAAGTGTGGAATTTGTTGGCACTGAATTCATCCACAGTGTGGTATAAACATCACTACAGATAGTTCCAGACTTCTTATCACCCCAAACCGAAACTGTTCACATGGAGCGCTCACTGCCTGTCCTCCTCGTCTTCCGTCTCTGAGATTTGTCTCTTTGGTTTCTGTGTCACCTGTTCTTATGTGTGAAAGTGTTTAGGAAGCTCACCCCTTAAAGAATCTGTGTCTTTTCCCTGGAAATGTAGTCTAGCTTCCATCTTCCTCAATGGAAGCTTCATTTAATTTTTATTAACTCAGCGATGATCATAGTTTTGACCACTGGTGCAGTGTCGAGAACGCGCTGCCCTGTTTCCAGTTGCTGTTTCTAAACGCCACACCTGCCGCTTGGGAAGAGCAAAGGCTGTGTGGCTTGCGGCTCCGGGTGCTGGTGTGCCTGAGAGCCTGTCATCTGTGTCTCCATCTGGTCAGGGCCCCTGTAATCATGACCTAGCAAGGGCATCACATGGCAGTAAGAATGGTTGTGTCTGAGAGAGCTTGCTGTATAACAAAGTCACTCTTTCAGTAGCCCATCAATCCACAAATGATTTAATCCATGCTTTGGGCAGTACCTTCATGACCCAGACACCTGCCAAAGGCACACCTCCAAATACCATACACATAGAACTTCAGAGATTAAGTTCCAACACGTGAATTATGGGGACCCAGCCAAACCATTGCAGATTCTGTGTCCTGAGTAATTTCTGAGTTGTGGAGATGTCTGGGATAGCCGTGGATCCCTATATTTTAAAGAGGGTAAAACACAACATAACAGAACAAAACAGATCAGAAGAAAACAATGTAAGTGACAGATTTCAAAGCAAGACAACAGGAGATCTACGGTGGCTACCATAATGTCTCTTGTTTTCTTCTAAATAGTTGTCTATATCTTCATACACAATGAATTCATATAAAACAAAAAGGTATAAAACTGATCAGAACAGAGTAATGAAGGTGTTAAAGGCCTTCACAACCAGACAATAGGAAAATCAACAATGGCTGCTGTAATATTTCTTTTTCTTGTCAAAATAGCTGTCCATACCTTCATGTATGTTGAAATTAAACAATACAAAACAGACTAAAACCACTCTGCACAAAGAATAAAAGCATTCCTGGATTTCACAGCATGACCATACGGAATCAGCAGTGGATACCGTAATATCTCTTTTTCTTCAAAGTAGCTGTTCATTTGAGACAGGATTTTAACATGCAGTTCAGCTTGGCCCTGAACTCACTTTGTGGCCCAAGCTGGCCTCAAACTTGCAGCAATCCTACTGTCTCAGCCTCCCAAGTGCTGGGATTACAGGTGTGCACCACCATGCCTGGCCTACTTTGAGTACTTGCAATAGTTTAAAAGAAAATGTTTTCCCTGGGCTGTCTTTGTTCTATCTGGCACTGGTTGACTCATGCGGCACTCACTGATAGAGCAGAACCATTTGCCTAAGTGAAATCCATATATATATTCAGTAAATACCCACACTTCTGCCCTTGCCCCTCCCCGTGCAGGTACCCCAACCCTGTCTGGCTCGGGCTGTTTCTCAGTGTGTTCAACTCTTGTCTGACTGTTTTTCACTTGGAGGAACGGCAGTTTCAGATGCTTCAGAATAGTTTCCAGGTCTGTTTTTAGAGTGTGCTTTATGTATTTGACTGGGTATGTATGTACTTGATATGTGTATTCTCACCAAATGCTCAGAGTTGGTATACTCACCTTACAGATGGAGAAATGGTTTCCAAAGAGTTAAATTCACAGGAGTGGTGAGCAGCCCATCTCTTTCTGTCCACTTACAGATCCTGTGTCCTTTTAAGCCACTGTGTTTCCTTTCCTGTCCTTTAATTTGCAGTTCTTAATTTCTGCAGTCCATGGAAATCAGGTAGCCAAACTGTACTCATGGTAGCATTAGTTTTTAATCTAGTTTTGAAAAATTTTGTTAGTGCACGTATTGCAGTACATAATGATTAAATTGGTCGTGGAGAGTTGGTACATATATGTAATACATCTTGATTCTTTTTATACCCCTCACCACTCTTGTTTATTATTCAAACACGTCTTTGATTTTGGAAATCAATTTTAGCTCATGCACCAGTTGTTGGAAGTTAGATCTATTAGCTGACCTGCAGGGCAAACACACATTGTTTCCCTACACCCTCACGCCTCGCTTTTGACACAAGATATGTGGGCTTTTTCCACACTAAGCAATTCTCCAGCTCTCCAAACACCAGCTGAGTGTTCAGCAGTTGGACTTCTAATTCCGTGTGCCTGGGAGTTAGCATGCGATCCCTTGGTTAAAGGCTCAGTCCCTCAAGACCGTCTCTGCTTCAGATGCCAGTCCCCAGTCCAGACTTCTGGTACATGTGACCTACAAGACATAAATCACAACTGCCCCTTAGGTTTGATAATTTGGTGGAATGTTTTCTAGAATTCAAGGAAACGTTTGATTGTTACATGTATTGGTATGTTATAAAGAATGTAGCTCATGAACCTCCAGATGGAATAGATGCATAGGACAAATTATTGGGGAGAGCAGTGGGAACAGTTTGCTGTCCCTCCATTCCTTAGTGTGCCACTCTCCTGGCATCTCTGTAGGTTCAGCAGCTTGGAAGCTCCGGAAATTTTGAAAGCTCCAAAACTCTAATCCCCCAGTCTTTCTGATGACCGGCCCCGCCCTTGCGCATCCCATTAGACTCAAGTATGATCTGGTGCCTGCCTTATTATGAATAACAAAAGACATTCCCATCACTCAGGAAGTTCTGAGGTTTTAGGAGCTTAGACTGCAGTCCTCCCTACACTGAGTTGGCTTAATGCCAGTTCTGTCTTTTAACTTGTAAGAGAGAGCCAAATTGAGTAGCTTTTGGGTAGTCTGAGTTTTCTTGCACTGTATGGAAGTTTAGAAAGTACGAGGGACTCTAGCTGAGTTTCTTTGGTGGGTCCTTAAACTGTCTGCAGTAGTAAAAACTGAGAGTGCAGCAGTTATTCCTAAAGATCCTTGCTTATTCACGGTAGGCCAGAGATCTTTTGTGAAGTTCTTACCTTGACACTGTTTATCTTATGGCAGAAAGGATACCTTTACAACTAATGACTGTGGCGTGGGCTCTGCAAGGCGCTCTGATGACTATGCAGGCCCACCTTTCTAACTGTATTCAGCCTGAGTCAATGGGTGAAGACCAGGACATTGAAGCAGCAGAGAGGAGATTGGGAGGGTTTAAAGCACCTGCTCTTGGGTGAAGCAGACCTAACATTGTGGCCAAGTCTGTCACTCTACTGTGACCCCAGCCAATCAGTTACCATCTTTACGCTTCAGTTCTTTATCTATAAAATGGTGATAATTCTTCCTGTAGTTAGAGTCACTGGAAGAGCCTAGTATGGTAAGGTCTATAAAGTTTTAGCTGGCATATAAATTTTGGTGATGGCAATACTAGTTGCTGCTTAGGAAATTTGTGGAGTATATGCAGCACAGTTTGAGGAAATACTGGTAGGAGACACAGCAGGGTATTTTTTCTTGCTTGATTTTGACTTTTGTGCATATTATCAAGCAGAAATTGTGCATGCCTGAAGTCCCAGCACTTGAGAGACTGAGGCAGGAGGATCATTGTGAGTCTGAGGCCAGCCTGGGTTACATAGTGAATTCCAGGCCACTCTGAACTACCCAGTGAGACCCTATCTCAAAAGAAATTAATAATAAATTTAATAAAATGTAACATTAAAATTAAAAAAGAAGAAATTCAGGACAAACAGAGGAAAAACTGAAAATTACAAAATTTCTTTTATTCTTTTGCCCTTTAACTGGTTCCTGCCATTCTCGAGACACCTATGAAATGAAGAACAGTTGACAGCAAGTTGGCACATGTGAGGACACTGTCTCTTGGCTTATTGGAATTATGAGTAACATGCAAAGAAGAGAGAGGAGAGAGGCTGGCCGTATCCATGAATTCTATCCAAAAAAGTGTTAAAAAAAATCACATCTATATTGAACACATGCATACTTTTTCTTGTCATTTTCCCCTAGACAACACAGTATAATTACTGTTTCTATACCATGTGCATTACATTTGATATCTACGTAATCTAGAGATGATTTAAAATATGCAGAAAGATGTACATGGGTTATAATATGCAAATACTGTTTACATAAAGGAGTTGAACTTTTGTTATCTTTGGGAGGCTCTGGAACCATTCCTCTGTGGATACCGTAGATAACTCTTTATTCAACAGAACTTACTATAATTTACTTTTATAAAGTAAGTACAAACTTTATAAAACTTACTCTTACTATAATTTTACAACCAAATTAAAGCATGTGTTTAAGCCCTAATAGCGATGTTATATTAAAAGTCTTCTTGTTACAAGAAGACAGAAATGTTTCCAAAGGACACATTACTGAAGGGTACTCCCTCTGTAGACTTGCAAGTTAGCCCAGAGATGGGATATGCACGTACGTGCACAGGTGTGTACATGTGTCAGTCCCATGTGCTCTCCCTTTTTATACAGGGTGGGTGTGAATGATGCTTACAAAGAAACTGGAGTTTACTCTTAGAAACTTCGCTCAGCCCAAAGGGGCTATTTGCTAATTATTTCTAAGAGACTGGAGTGAATCACAGGAATTCATGAAATTATGAGAAACACAAGTATACAAGAAACAAACTCGAGTAATGACTGTACTATATTTTATCTTCCTGGTATCACTTTATGATTTGGTGTTTCATTTTAAAAGCATTCATCATTTTATGGTGATTAATTTTTTCAGGGAGCTATTTAAACTTTTGTTTTTAAGAAGCTCATTATTCTAAGTTGTTAATTGGTATCTTTGTTTTCATACCCTGTGTTATTTTTTTTTTCTGTTTATACTTTGGTAAATGACGGTATTTATTAAGTGTATGCTGGCAAATTATTGTATATTTTGTGTACAATAAGATACACAATTATATATGGAACTGTATGTCTGTTTTAGTCTTTTTTCTGTTACTAATATTGAAATACCCGAAGCTGGGAATTTTATAAAGTGAACAAGTTGATTTAGTTCATAATTTTGGAGGCTCTAGGCCTGAAGTCAGGCAGCTTCATTGATTCGGCTCTGGTGATGGCCTGGGTGGCTGGGTCACATCACAGTGGGTGACATCACAGGGGAAGCATGTACCAAGGGGAAATCAGAGAGCAAATCAGGAGTTGGGCTTTCCATTTTTATTTTTTGGTGCTGGGAGTGGACCCAAGAGCCTCAGCATGTTGAACAGGTTGCCTGTCCTTGGGCTTCATCTCCAGCCCTCTGTTGTGTCAATATTCTTTTGAGAACCAACCAGGATATCATGAGAACTGTATCAGTTTTTTGTTGTTGGTTTATTTTTTTAATTAGTTAATTGAGACAGGGTCTTGCTGTGTGCTCCAGGCTGGCCTGGAACTCACTGTGTGCCTAAGGCTGGCCTCATGTTTACAGCAGTCTTCCTCGACAACCTCAGAGTTCTGGGATTCCAGGTGGGCACTCCTGACCCCTTGAACTGTATCAGTTCCTTCTGAGGACAGCGCTACCAATGACCTAACCACCTTTCAGTAGGCCCCGCCCACCTCCTAAATGGCCCACCACCTCCCACATTGCCACGCTTGGGATAGTCTTCCAACACCTGAACCTTTTGGGGAGACCAATCACATCCAAACTACAGCCACCCATTACTTGAAAGAAAACTATTTTCTTGGATCCCCTTTATTAGTCAAAAGGGAAAATAACTCAGTTGTCCTTGTGTATGGGAGAGATACTATGGGTCCCTGATTGGTATTTTTGTAATGACAAGAACCTTGTTTTAAGTCAAAACTTGTGTTTGGAAATGAATTTTGACATCCTCACAGAAACTTACGAAGGGCAAAGAAAATGTTTCTTTTAGCAAAGAATGGTATGTTGGGTTAACCTTGCCTTCTTTCCTTCCTCCTTCCTTCCATTCTTTCTTTTTTTTTTTTGTAGCACTGAGATTGAACCCTGGGCCTTCTCTGAGCTGCATCCCCATCCCTTTTTAAATTTTTTTTTAAATTTTGAGACAAGATCTCACTAAATTGCTTAATTTTCTACATGGGACTGGAACTTGTAGTCCTTCTGCTTCAGCCTCCAAAGTGCTATGATTACGGGTATACACCATTTTACCTAACAAATATTTCTTACTAAAAACAATTCATGGATTCTCAAGGGTGTACCCCTCAAGAGGGTGCAGATTGGATCTTAGGAGAACCAAAAAAATTCTTAGTCTCCTACAACACAGATACGCACAGAAAAAGACAGATGATATATCTTTAGCATAATACTTTCACATCTGGCTGATAAGGGGAAAATATACAAAAAGGTTCCTGGATGGGGCCAGAAGGAGACCCAGGCTGAGAAGCACTGTATGCTTCTCAAACCCTTACCTCTCAGCTCTTACACAGCAGAGTTGGAGCTGGAGTTCATCATCCTGCTCTGGGGATGTCATTTGCATATTAAGTGGTAGTGGCTAACATGCGAAACAGTGAATTTTTTTTATTCTCTCCTCTAGAAAATTTATTGTGGTTAGTCATGAGAACCATGCTTTAAAGATCAATGGAAAAGGTTAGGAGTCAGCCATGGTATTTGGCCTTGCCAGTGAAAGAGCTGGGAGCAACTGAGCATATCTTTGTGTACTTGAGAGCACGGCCTCTCCACAGGAGGTGCAGGGAAGAAGGGGTGTGGGTGTGGGTGTGGGCAGGGCACCAAGAAGCATGGATTCAGTTTGCTTTTGTTGTAGCCTTGCTTCCCCCTCTCACACGTAGTTGGAGTTAAAAAAAGAGAAACTTCTAAGCCTAGTTTAATTCATCCTGTATTCTATAACTTATGTGTTGTGATCAGCTCTTGAAATTCTCCCACATCTGTCCAGACTTCAGGGCTGGAATTGTCCAGTAGTGGAGCTCAGCCTGGCCCACCTCTCTCCCTGACCCAGGGCCCAGGACATCATCCAGGGACTGAAGGAATGACATGAATTACGTGTTTTTCTCAGCAGCTTTTCTGAGATGATAATGCTGTGACTACTCATTCATCCCATATTAATTCTTTAATCTCCTTTGTATCCCTTAGCAAATGTGGATGTTTTGAAGGCGATGGTAGCAGACAACAGCATGGCTGATGCTGAAAGGTAAGTGCTTTTCCTCCCCCTGAGGGGAACGTGTCTTCAGCGTCTCTTCATGTGCTCTCTGAAATGCTGCTGGAAAAGAGCAGGTTTCCCAACTTCGGCCCTGTGGGTGTGGGGGGCCAGGCCAGGCACCCTTTGTGCTGCAGGTGCTGTCTGTGCACGGTGGGATCTCTGAGTGTCCCTGGCCTCCATTCCCAGATGTCAGAGCACTGCCCCTCGTTGTCCCCACAAAGTGTGACAACCTCAAGTGTCTGCACGTTGTAGTGTTCCCAGGGAGATCCTTTGTTGGTCAGCGCTGCTGTGTTAGAGATCAGCGCTGCCAGAGGAGTAAGGCATGGAGGCCAAAGAGCAGGAACAACACCCTGGCACTGGGAGACTTTGTTCTCTCCACCTCTTTCTGACCACTGGTTCTTGGGTAAATTAACTGACCACACTGAGCTCCATTCCATCATCTGTAGAATGGAGATGACTATGTGTTGACTTCATTGGGTTGTTAGAAGGAATGCGAAGTACTGGGGCACTGAAATACCATTATGAATATGGCAATTAAATGAACAATTGATTTGGGGATTCATGGTACAGCATAATTTTATCTTTCTACTTGTAGGTTATGGTCACTGAGCACCATATTCCCTCATAATAGGATGACTGTTCAGTTTTCACTTTTCCAATGAGGAGCATTGATTGTCTACCATGTGCTGGGTTCTGTTACCTGTGGCATTCATAGCCCTTTCCAGGAGGAGCTCAGTCCAGGGATGGAGGTGGCCATTCGAGGCCTTGCAGGGGATGGAGATGAATGTGCTGCAGGAGAAGCACAGTTGGGGAGTCTGAGTGCTCTGTGGGGCTAGCATAAGATCGGGGAGGCTTGTGGAAGAGGCATCATCTGAACCTGGTATTCCCTAGGCAGGGCTGGGGCAGGAGCACCAAAATGTAGGGTGCAGTGGTTGGTCTGGGGTGCCAGAGAATGTGCTATCGCGGCAGCAGGAAGGCCAGTTGGCACTGATACATGGCAGGGAGGTGAATCTTGTTCTGTTTCATGGGTGGGCATGCACATAGCACATCCTGAATATTAATGCAGCGTTGGGTTTGGATGTTGGGTCCTTTGATTGCAGAGAGGTGAGCTAGGGAAGCTCTGGTGATGTGATTCACAGATGAGTGCAGACTGCTCACATACTCCAGCCCTGACTGTGGACAATTAAGGTTAAAACCATATCAACCTCCGGTGCCTGTGTCTCAGTCATCTTTGGGTGTCCTGTAGTAGCTGTTGTTGGGTTGTGTACACAGCTAGTGTTTGATAAATGCTTGTGGAGTGACTGTAGTTGAAAGCATAAACGCAGCTTCCCAACATATGATGTAGGATTCATACGTTTTTCCTCTAGGCAGGTCCTGCTGGGGCTCTTTATTTAATAACTTAAGAACATCACTAGAGAGCACTAAGGAACTTTTAATTGGCTGAATGTGGATACTGCCCCCTCACTGGTGGCCTGTACCTCTTCGAAATATGTGTGCATTGGACAGGTGACAGCAGCCCAAAGCTAGTGTCTGCGATCACTAGCCTTCCACGTGCCTTTGGGGTTCTTACTGCCTCTCAAGTATCAGGTCTGTGACACATCAGAGGCTGCTCAAGCTGGTCAGTCCTGCCCTGTCTTGTTCTAATCCTTCCTCTCCCAGGGGCCAGAGCCTGGACATGTGCCTTTAGAAAGTAGCCAATATCTAGCCTTTATATACTTACTTTTTATATTTTGACTGATCTGGCTAAATTTCTTAATAGATGATCAAAAGTGATCTCTATTGTTTCTGAAGCACCATATAGTATGGTCGGTAAGACTGGTGTCTGCAATTTAACTTTCCAGGTTTGGATCTTGATCCATACTTATTTGTAAGTTACTTAGCTTCTCTAAGCTTCAGTGCCCTCATTTTTATTTCTACCCTTTGTGGTTCTGGGGATCAAAGCTGAGACAGTGTCTCACCGTATAGTTCAGGCTGCCCTTGAACTCACTGTGTGGCACAGGGTGGCCTCAAACTAGTGGCAATCCGCCTGTCTTAGCCTGCTGAGTGCTGGGACTGTAAGCAGCATACACTACCATGTCCAACCCAGTCTTCCTTTTTTAAATAAGAAAATTATTAATTCTTGTATCATAAGGTTTTATAAAAGTTAATTGAATTAACATAAAATTCTTGGAATGCTAAATGTTATTTTTTATTACTATTATCAACAGCATTGACATCTGTTTTTAGCATCACTTTTGATAACCTGACCTAAAACTTTTGTCCTATGATACAATAGATTGGATTGAATATTTTTACTATTATAAATCATCTGATAATTCACTGGAATTTAAGTTTTTCTGCCTCCCAGGGCATAAATGTTCAAGAGATTGCCTTGCTGGGGAAAAGGCAGGCACTCGGCTGTGTGTGAGAAACTAATGAAATTGCGTGAGAAGGGAGATGGATGTTTTAGAAAGAAACCTAATACTCCATGTCATCATGAGAAGCAGTGGTTTATTTCTAGCCAATTAATTGAGTTCTAGAAGTGATAAATCACATTAGTATTGTTTGAAGTGAGCTGTCCCTGTGTGGTCCTGAGAGCTGAATGCATGCATGTAAGATTAGTTCATAAAGTTCATCTGTGCAACACCCCCCACCCCCCAATTTAATCCTCTTCTTACACTACAGCCAGAGAGTGCTTTGGCTAAGATTTCTTTTATGAGACCACTGCTATTTTTTCCCTTTTTTCTTTCTCCTCTCCATAGCCCCCTGACTCCCAGCACCCCTGGGAGCCCTCCTGTGAGTCCTGGGCCCTTGTCACCGGGAGCCACCCCAGGGAAGCATGTCTGTGGCCACCATCTGCACACTGTGGGCGGAGCTGTCGAGCGGGACGTGTGTCAGCGGTGCAGGCACAAGCGGTGGCACTTCATAAAGCCCACTAACAAGTCCAGAGAGGCCCGACCACGACGCCAAGGGGAGGTCACTGTCCTCTCTGTCGGCAGGTAAGGTCCTTTAGGATGCTTCTGGTTTGTGTGAGTTGCTATGATGTCCAGATTTGTGCTTAGCCTTAAATGTAGAGTATATGCCTGGCTCAGATCACACCTGTAGGCTTTTGGATGTTTCCTTATCCGGATATTTTTAATAACAGAAGACTCCTAAAAGGTAGCTATTGCTAGATCAGGAGATGTTTTAATTAAGGGAAATGATTAATTACTTGTAACAGAGCTTAAAACCATTACTGTGTACAGACTGGCTCATCATGAGACAGTCCTGGGAATGGCAGATGGCACTGTGGCTCACAATCCACTGTGAGAATTAGTCACTTGGCCACACCTAACTGCCAGGCAGCCAGAAAATACCATGTTGCCATGTGCCAGGGAGAAGAGACGAATGGATCCGGCACTCTGCATTCTGTGCCCCGTGAGATCTGTTGCAAACTGTGGTGGCCACTTGGTTCACTTTACCTCCCCTGTGCCCTGGGCATCTCAGTCCTGAAGTACCATTTCCTTGTGAAATGAGATCTTGCAGTTGGAGGGACACATTAACCTGACATGAAGCATTTCTGCAGTCCCTGCAGTTTGAGTTTTGGGGCTCTTGCAGGAAGCTCATTGCGAAGGCCACGTTTGGGAAGGCACTTAGGTAGTGCATGCTGGGGACAGGGGGAGCACTGAGAAAAAGCTGTTTCCATGGCACCTTCTTTCTCTACTGACAACCTCTGGGCACAGGAGCCTGACTCATTGCAGCCGCCTCCTTAACAGCTGACTACAGGGGTCAGGCTGAACATCACTATTTTCCTGTCCGGGAAATTACTGCTTACAGTAATGCCGAGTCCGGGCATTACTGCTTACAAACGTTACTGAGTCTGTGTGCCTCAGCTTCCCCCTGTGTCAAAGGAGGGTGACAGTGACATCTACCTCATAGTGTTACTCTAAAGACTCAATGAAATGACTTTGGCAAAGGTTTTAGACCTGTTGGGGGCATTTATGCACTCAGGAAATGTTTGTTATCATAGTTACTATTTTAATTCAGTTGGGTTTCATCATGTTGTTGCACAAACCACAAGAAAACTGAGGGCTGTTTGCCACTTGCAGCAAAACAGTACAACTCATGACCACAATGTTTATTAAGAGGCAGAGTCATGGGAATTTATGAATGCAGATGAATGAGAACCTGGAGCTTTTCGGACAAAGCATATTTTGTTTGCTTGGAAAAAAAATCTGCTGAAATTTTCAACCTAGATTTAACATGGCATTTTTAAATGCCCCAAATCCCACTCTCTCTTTTGGATATGGGGCCCTGTGAGCATGTCATGATCACAGGCTGTTTTCCAGCATGTGTTGCCCAACAGTCTTCCAGTCGAATGGAATAGGTCTGTGTGCTCTTTTGCTTCCTCCTCCTCATGGCTGGTGATCACATTTGGACAAAGAAGGAGAATTTTTACATTATTTTAAAGGAAATTAAGACCAAAACTAGAAAGAAAATATTATTGAAAGACTATAGGGATTTGAGCATGATGTTCTAGATTGCCAATTCTCAATGAAAATCTCTTCCTTAATGTCTTTTTTTCCTTAGTCTTTAATGAAGAGTATATCTTTAAGAAACAGAAACAAACCCCCAGATCCTACTTGTAACTAGTACTGAAAGAATGCATTATTGGGGCTCTCCTCTGTGTGTGCACATGTATGCACTGAGCTAAAATCATCTGACAGTTGTGTGTTTTGGTGAAGTAGTTATCTAGTGACTGTTTTTTCTAAATCTAGTGACTATTTTGCTTATGACTGTGTACTTTGTTGACCTGTTATATTTTTCCCCAGTCTTCTGAACTTTCGTTAAAGAAACTCTAAAACCCATTTCATTGTCAGAAACCACAATGCTAAGGCTATTTTGTATCTGAATACCTGTGTTTTCTAATGCACTTTCATACTCTGTAAAATAACCAGTCTGTGATATGGTTGAGTCAAAACAAGCTGGCGGGAAGGGCAGGGACGGGGTATTTGCTGGTCTGAAGTGTCACTCCTTTTGAGTATGTTTTCCATTACTATCTTAACTTTTGGCTGAGTTTGTTAGGGGTCCTGTAGATAAAATACTTTTTGATTCCCTCATAATTGCTGTTCACTGGAAAAGGAAAGCCATTACACCACCTCTTTTTCCTCCTCAGATTTAGAGTCACAAAAGTGGAACACAAGCCAAACCAGAAGGACCGGAGAAGTTTGATGTCTGTTAGCGGGACTGAGAGTGTTAATGGGGAGGCGCCTGTGACTCCTGTGAACAGAGATCCAAGTGGTGCAGAGTAGCAGGTGAGCTGCAGCGTGGGCAGCTTTGGGGTGGGAAAGGTCCTGAGAGCCTCCCGTGCTCAGTCTGTGTCTCGGGGAAGTGGCAGAGGTTGGTGGGAGTGGTGAGGCGAGGGCGCCGAGAGATCACGTTTGCCTCACATGGAGGCCATCAGGGGCTTGGCCTGCGGTCATGAACGTGGAGGCTGCAGAGGTACAGTGGTGCGGGGACTGAGGGGAACTAGAAACCACAAGGCAAGAAATGCATGTGTCTTCTTACCAAAAAAAAAGGTAAAAATCCAGGCAGCTTATTGTTTTCTGTAAAAAAAAAAAAAACAAACAAACAAACAACTTTCAGGCTGAATCACATGTATTCATATCGTCATTTTTAAGTAAACTGTGATTTGAAAAAGGCAAGAGCAAATGAACCAATGCCTTTTCCTTTGAATTGGAAACCATTTTCTTTGATGCGTTACATCAAAGGAAATACTCTCAATAGGAGCATTGCCCTGAAAACCTCCAGTAGGAACATTACTCTTTCCACTAAGTGTTTTAGAGCAATTAAAAAGCAAGATGAATGCTTCTTGATTTGGCTAATTTAATTTTGGACAATAACTGCTTTACCAGAGCAAAGCAAAATACCTGTGATAACACAATACTATCTTAGCTTTCATTTTACTCCTTCTGTTCTGGATTGAGTAACATTTACCCATTCTATGCCTACTATATGTACAAGGGCAAGAGAGTACACATGCTCTAAGAGTTCCAATCGAGCTGGTCGTTCCTGAACTTGACAGAAGTGCTTATTTGAACAAAGGTGTAGAACTGATGCTGGTGGAGGGTGCTCAAGCCTGGCCTTGAAGGTACAGGAAAATAGTAATGCTCAGCCTGACCCCTGTAGTCAGCTGCCAGTTTAAATCCTAGTTTGCCACTCGCTGGCATGTGGACACAGGTAAGCTGTGCCAGCTTGTTACACCTCACTGGCAAATGCAGAGGATGCTCCCTCAGGGGTGGCTGTGAGGTTTTGGTGGAGTAACAGGAAAGCCAGGCCTGACAGCTCAGCAGTGCTCCATCCGTGTCTGCTCTGCTTGCTGTGTGTCAGTTCCCTCGGTCAGTGGAAGGGACGAAGGGTGTTTTGGTTGAGGCTTCTCTTAACATCATCTAGGTTTAGAGGGGCTAAAAAGATGTTCCAAGAAGCAAACTGGAGCACTCGTGTTCCTGAATTCTCTGGTATCCTCTTAGGACCAGTTTTTACAGACTTGCTTTTGGGGAGATAAGGGCCCTTCCTCGTAGCTTAGGAGGCACCTAGGGGTTTTCTGTAAAGAGGAGGAGCAGTATAGAAAAGTCTGTCTTAGGTATCTGAGCCAGTTCCTGGTAACGTTCACAAAAGAGCCAAGAGGAATGTAGGAAGAGGCAGGTGACGAGGTGAACAGTAAGCGCATCTCGTATTGTCAGTATCCTGATCTCATTATAAACATCTCATGGGTTTGAGAGGGTCTTCCCACTCTTACAGATGAGATTAATACAGGAAAGGGTAGGGTACATACCGAAAAGCATATAGCTGAAAAGAGGAGCTGAGATTCGAACCAGGGTCTCTAGCTCCGAGATCAAGTACACTCTCCCTTTCCTTCAAGGTACAGGGCTGATGAAGGGGGACTCCTGGTAATCTCAACTTCGTGGTTTAATATGGTAGCCACTCCTCATCTGTGGCTAAGTTTCATTAAATTAAAAATTTCACTCTTTACTTGCACTTAGTCACGTTCCAAGTATTAGCAGCCACAGGTGGCCAGGGGGCATCCTGTTGGATATTACAAATATAGACCATCTCTGTCAACACAGGAAGTTTTATGGAGCAGAGAAAACAGTACCTTGGATATTAGAGTTGGACTGGCAAGTGACAGTGGTAAGCTAGAAAAGTGTTTGTTTCCAGTCAGGGAGGGTTTGTCTGGAAGAGAAGCGTCTATGCAAGTCTAAGGTGGGGAAGCCCAACCAGGCTAGCTGTCAGGGCAGTGTGGCACACTCGTCAGAGTGTGTGTGGATGGCGTTATTGCCGTGGCAGCGAGTTGAGAGATGGAGCAGGTTGTTTGTGTAAGAATCTGGCTCAGCCCTGCAGGAACCGCAAGGTGATCCTCTTGTCACACTCCTCCGGGTTAGACCAGGCCAAGGAATTAACATTGCTCATTTGGTTTTCTTGGCCCAAATTCTGTTTGTATTTGACCATGGAAATTTGACCTAATCATCTGATGACCCAACCATAAATAACTGGTTTATAATTTGATATTGTCTGCAAAGCACACGGTCATCCAGCAGGGTCATATCCAATCCAGAGTACTGGAGAGATTTGCTATTTGAAAATTGTATTTACATGCCCTTACCTTTTATTCTCCTTGAATGTGAAATAAAAGTGTTAAGCACATTGATTTAAGGGAGTGCCTGGGATGCAGGTGACGCTCCATAGAGAGCATTCATACTGCATTGTGCTGACCACATCAGCAACATGCAACCAGTCCTAGACAGGGGCCTTTTCTGAGCTTCTAGTTTGCTGTAATATTGAAATTAAAAATAAAATTTTTTCTTATGGAAAAGCAGAGAGAACATGAATGCCCATGATCCATGAAATAAATTAATTATAATACAGGTTTTGCAGTCCTCTGCACCTGGCATGCTTTGAAAGGCCATTTCATGTGTCATGTGTTGATTTATTTAATCATATGACAGAATAGGTAGATGCTATTTAATACCTTGTTTTGCAGATGAAGGTCTTAAGCACAGTTTAAGCATCTTGTATAGAGTTATCAGGAATAAAACGATGAACTTAGAGTCAAACCCAGGAAGCTTGGTATCACAAGCTTCGTTCATTTGGTTCAAGGAAAAGCAGGTCCCTGCTTAGGCTGGACGCTATTGCAGTGACCAAATGTGATTCTTCCAATAGGCATGGACTCAAATAGATGAAGAAGGGAATTGTCATTGGCATTTTAAATATTATATAACCAGTAAGGTTTTTTTCTGCTAGTTTGCTTATAAATCCCATATAAGGAAGAGTATTTCTGGGAAGATTTAATATGACTTGATTTTTCAACTGGAACAACTTGAAACTTTTTCTTCTGGACCAAAATGTGTGGTTCTTGAAAGAATCAGATTTGCCCTAGAATAGAGCTGATAAAGTAGTAAAGGACTAGTATGTGTCTTTTATACAGTTGACTATAATCTTTACAGTTGTATTTTTTTCCTGAAAGATATTTTTGTTCAAAGTTTTGGATTTTTCCTTAAGCTGTTTTACTGGATTCCCTGGTCTTACTGCAGATTCAAGTGTTTGAATGTAAGTGCAGATCCACTCAATGGTTTCTTCCCTCCTTCCCTCCCCTCTGCCTGCCCTTCCTCCTTTCTTTCATTGTTTTAGCAGAAAGTAGACTTGGCACAGGCAGGGCTCCGCATCCATAGGCTCCACAGTGGTGGATTCCACTGTGGATCCAAAATGTATTTTTAAAAATGTGTCCTGACCATGGGCACATTTTTGGCCTTGTTATCATTTCCTAAACAATACAGTTTACATAGCATTTATATTGCTTTTTTTAATTATAAGTAATCTAGAGATGATTTAAGGTTCACAGGAGGATGTGTGGAGGTTTTATGGAAATAGTGTAGTGCCATTTTATATAAGGGACTTTAGCATTCACAGATGTTCATATCCTTAGGGGTTTCCTGGAACCAATCTCCTATGGATACCAAAGGATGAATATTTTAAATAATTTGTTAAGATGACAAGGCAGGAATTCTCTCTCCCGCTCTTTCATTTGCTCTTTTAGAAACAATATCTGTTATTTGTCCTCTCCTCCCCCTTGTTCTTCTCACTCTGCTTCTTTTTTGGCCTGAGGGTTTTTGTTTTTTTGTTTTTTGGAGGTTTTTTTGGTGGTCAGATCTAACTTACACACTGCCTGATTTATTTTGGCAATGCAGCTAAAATGGCTTCTTTTTTTTCCACAGAAAATGTGTTTTGGTTTCTTCTTAGAAGAATAAGCTTTTGTTCTTCAAAGTTAAATAAATCGAATTGCTTTCAGTCTCCAAATGCCACTGCCTTGTCTCCATTGTAACCAGTTTTTTGCTTTTTAAAAACGATCCTGCAGTAAGCATTCACTATTGCATGTTTCTGAAGTATATGCCCCTTTTTCCATTTTCTCATTGTATTTTACTGAAAGCACTGCTTTGTTTAAGTTCACATGACAGTATATTAAACATTTTCACTGTTAGTATTCAATGTTTGGACCATTTTAATTGGATTATTCAGATTTTTTTGCTATTAGTTGAGCTCCTTGTGAATTCCTAACTAACCACTTGTCACGTATAGAATTTGCTAATATTTTCCCTCATTTTGTAATTTGTCTTTTCACTGTTTCCTTTGCTATGCAGCAGCTTTTTGGTTTGCTGTAATCTCATTCATCTTGTTTTGCCTTTGGTACCTACCTGTACTTTTGGCATCATATTTAAAGTAATCCATGCCCAGACCAATGTCAAAGATTTCTCCCGGTTTTCCTCTAGTAGTTTTATAGTTAATATTTTTATTCAAACAAAAATTAATCAGTTGACAATTCTTTTTATTTAGCTTTATTATTGAGATGATTGTTAATTTTTATTTTACTGCAAGTTTTTTAAAGTGCCTAGTTTTAATTATAACTGTGCCACTTAAGTACCAATAATTTTGTGCAAGTTGCTTATCCTTTTCAGTCTTGGTTTTCTCCTCTTTAAGATGGGATTGTTGTTAAATGACCTGACATATGTCTAGTTTTTAAATTGGTCCTTGACATAGAGTTAGTATCTGCTGAATGATCACTAATAGTAAGAATTCTCATAAATTGCTGGGTGCTGTTATGTATCGGGTCATTTCTCAATCATCAGCTTTTGGCACTGTGAAGCTCTTTTTACTGCATCAGACTGTAAGTGCTTTTGATTCTTAGGACATCTCAGAAATAAGTAGTATTTGCCAACTCCTTCAGGAATGTGGGCCACTTTTCCATTTGTGTTAAGGAAAC